CCGTGCATCACAATCGGAAATTATTAATTTGGTTTTCTAGCGGGGAAATCAACAATTGATGCAATTCACATCCTTCGGCAACTGCAAGAGAAGTACCTCGCAAAGCATCAACAACTATCACACATTTTTGTAGACCTTGAAAAGGCATTTGATCGAGTTCCCCGTGAAGCAATCAGGTGGAGTCTACGTCGACAACTCATTCCAGAATATCTTGTTCGACTTATGATGGAAATGTATACGAATACTAAGACTCTTGTCAGCACAACGGTTGGAAACACAGATGCATTTGACATCGGCGTTGGAGTTCACCAAGACTCGATTCTCAGTCCACTGTTATTTATAACTGTGATGGAAGAAATCACAAAACCGATGCGCACTGGTGACATTTGGAATCTAGTATATGCTGATGATATCGTTTTAACAGCCACGTCTGAGCAGAATGCAGCACAGATGTTTGAAGATTGGAACACCAGACTCGCCGATCATGGATTCAAAGTAAACATCAGCAAAACCAAAGCAATGAACACTGGTGAACCCATCTAATCCACAGCTACTGGACGATGGCCCTGTTCAGTTTGTAAAGCTGGTGTAGGTAACAATTCAATTAAGTGTCAGCAGTGTAATCAGTGGTGTCACAAACGTTGTTCAAAAATAATTGGTTCTTTATCTAAAGTGTCCAATTTTGTTTGTCCTGCTTGCATCAATCCACAACAACAAATTCGAAACAGCACTGTTTTTGAAGCCATTAAGGTAGAGAAAGTCACATCGTTTCAATATCTAGGGGATGTTCTGAATTGTACTGGAAAAGCTGAATCTGCCGTTCAAGCAAGCATACGTGCAGCCTGGAATAAATGGCATTTCCTTGCCTGTATATTGATGCGGCGTGACATCCCACTACCACTACGATCAAGACTTTATAAATCTGTGATACGTCCGGTGTTGTTATATGGTGCAGAAACATGGCCAATGACAACCAAACTGGAACAACAACTTCAACGAACCGACATGAAAATCCTCCGATGGATGCAACGAATTAATCTGAAGGACCACATCAAATCTACCGAAATCCTGCGCCGTGCTGGTTTAGATGATATAAAGGACGAATGCCGGCAACACCGTCTGCGGTGGTTTAGTCCTGTCAAACGAAGTGGAAACAGTGCCATAACTTCTTTTGCAGATGTTGAAGTACCTGGCACACGTCCCAAAGGTCGTCCAAAGAAGTCCTGGTAGCAAACACTTGAGCAGGACATGAAAGCTCTAAATGTAAATGAAATGGATACAACTGATCGTCTAATTTGGCGCAAAAAGTTGATGGCAAAGGAAACAACGTCCTACATCGAGAAACCGGGTCTCTGGAGGCAAAACGAAAATTGATTGATTGAATTTCATTATTTTATAAAAAAAACATTAAATTATGAGCGGCAAGATGATATATTGGTCATGGAACCGGGTCCTGCTAATGTAGTGACCGAATTAGAAGACAAATAGATTCCAACCTAATACATAAAATGTGCATCATGCCTGGATTCAAACATGCTCACACATACAGGCGATGAGCCTGTGTTGCTCATACCTCTAAGAATTAATTACGATAATAATAAAAATAATAATAACAATAAATGAGTCAACTTCACAATGATAATAACAATAAATAAGTCAACTCCACAATGAAAATATAAAATGAACTTTCTCTTAGAATAAAAAAAAACTGAACTCCTGCCCAAACATGTATATTTAAAGAGTGAGGTTAAAAGTCATTCTCTTTTACTGACAGTTCATGTAGTGAAACCAGGCATTGCATGTTGCAGATGATGGACTGGGGTCGTTTTGCACTTGAATCAGACAAAGCATGACCAGGTACCTTTAACCATTACGCTATCATGCCACCAAAGCTTATTAACATAATTAATAGGACATCTATATATTACTTTATTATTTATCTTAAATATATTTTCTGAATTCTCAAAATACAATATTGAATAAACCTAATATTATTAAACACTCTTTCATTTCAAATAATTCCAACAGGATCATCTACAAAAGACGTATATCACTCTTATTCCTATTATCCTAATCACAGAAAACATTTCAAACATCATATTTACCTTTCCAATGCCACATCTTGTTAGCATTTCAGCTGCAACACTGCCAACCCCACCGACACCTACGATGGCAACTGTGAAGTCTCGAATTTTCTATATAGAAATAAATTTTCTAACTGATCATTACTTTTTAAACTAAAAAAACATTTGAAAAATGTATTGATCTTTGCAAAAGAACTTTAATAATAATCTATTAAACATTACCTGGTAGTTTTCAACAATGCCCATTCGTTTCAAAGCCATTAATCGACTGAAACAAAAATGATTTACACATTTTATTTTAAGAATCAATTGATCAACTTATAAATTTCTTTTTATATGAACTGAATATATATTAATGGGTGTTTTATATCAAATTTGAGACTTTATTCAACTAATAAACACACGATATCAAAAACATTTAGTAGTTGTTAGGTGAGCTACATTTGATGGGTCTCCTGCGAATATTCCCTTTTTTGGATTTGATAGTTTAGGTTGCTTTGCTCCTTGTACCGTGGACAAGTTGCATTCTGTTTTCATGAATTTGCGTAAGACTACCTGTCGATTGAAAACTGTCCCCACAGCGATTTTGATGAAGTTCCTTGATGATTTGCTGCCGTTTTTCGTTCTGTTGATTAATGTCTCGTTTGCCACTGGCATGTTTCCTTCTGGTTTGAAAAGAGCCGTGGTGACACCATTGTTGAAAAAGGCTGGTTTTGATATTAATGGCAGTAAAAATTATCGACCAATCTTTGATCTTTCGTTCTTGTCTAAGATTTTCAAGCGTTTGTTCATACTCGTTTTGTAAGTCGCTTTAACACACACCACTTGCTGCCTAATGTTTAATATGCCTACCGTGCTTTTGCCTTGACAGAAACAGTATTGCTTAAGATGTTTGACGTCATAACATCTCACACTGACAAGCGATAAAAACTGCCATTTTGAGTATGAGTGCCACATTTGACACAGTTGATATCCGGATGTTATTGACTAGGTTTGAGTTTGCTTTCGGGGAGAAGGATCTTGCATTTTGCTAGTTGAATTCGTTTGTGGCTGACAGAGGGCAATAGGTCTTGTTTAATGATGGTTTGTCTACCAAAGCATGTTTGTCCACGGGGGTGCTGCAGGGATCAGTTACTTACAAACCTAAAACCAAAATAAAATAACCTATAAGGGTTCCAATCTTTTACTTCCGAGCTAATTTCTGCAATTTTATCACGACGCGGATAATTTCTTCCCATATGTTGAACAGTTTCTTCTTTTCTCCGGCTTTCATCGGTTAACTCTTGCGAATTCATACTGAATTGAATGTGAAGCGAACTTAGGAAAAAACTTTAAAAAAAAAGGAGTAAAAAAGACGCTCGTTAGTTTCGAGTTCCCTTCTGCTAGCCCAGATGAAAATTAGGAAGATTTTTCTGCCACGAAAAACCTGATAAATAATGCATATGAAAAAAGTGAAATTAATTTTCATCCATCCTAATTGTATAGCGTTGAGTTTAATTTATAAATAATGTAAATAGTAAGTAATATATAATAAAAATTAAAAATAATAAATATAAAAATAATAAAAAACAACATATCTTAATAAAATTTTTTTATTATTCTTTAAAAATCAGGATCTGACAGACGCAGGAACTGTTACAGCATACAAGGCAGTAGTACAAAATTAAACAAATAAGTAAAAAAATAAAATAACGGAGAAAGAAAAATGTTTAAACATGAAAAATAAAATAAAATAAATAATAATAATAAAATAGATAAAAGAAAATAAATTGACAATAAAATGAAGTAATGGCATAAAAAGGAAAATTAATAGACTTAATGAGTTAGTGAGGTGATCGATAAATAAAAACTAGTTGTGTGAATGATAAAGTCTTATTGAGTGTGAATATGTTTGAGGTGTCTTATCATGAAGATCTTTTCCTGATAAGTAGATTGGGTGGCAACTTGATAGTTATGCTTGCTTTGACGAAGGTTGTGTGTTGTAGTTTTAATTGGTGGTAGTAGAGAATGGATGACGTTGTTGTTGTTATTTTCTACTTTCTTGAACAGTCTTGAATCGAGTGTGTTGAAGGATATGATGCAGGTAGATAGTTGAAGCGGATTAGTTTTTTGATGAGAGATTGTAGTTGCTGAAGTTGTTGTTGTGTAGCAAAACCAGACCAGGTGGGAGCTGCATATTTGATGCGTGAGATTATGAGTGATTCAGTGATGTCGAATAATTTGATGCCTCTGAGACCATGTGAGCGGAGCGTTTTGAGTGCGTGAAATGTTTGAAAGCCTTTTGTGATGATGTGATTGATATGAGGTGTTATATTAAGTGTGGAGGTGAATAAGATGCCTAATATTTTTAATTGACTTGTGCCAGTGGTTGATGGGTGTTCTGGAGGTAATGTTATTTTCTTACGGCTATTGTGAATGATGAATTCAAATGATTTATCAAGATTAAGTGACAGAGGCATCGTTTTGACCACGTAGTTAATGAATCGAGTTCTGATTGGATGGTGTTTGAGTTAGTTGATGGGATGATAAGGTGGGTGTCGTCAGTGTATTTGATTAGGGCCATGAAAAGTTTTAAAAGTAGAAGCATTGATGATAAAGGTAGATGGTCCAAGGACAGAACCCTGAACTACGCTAGAATTAATAGGTAGAGTACATTTAGTAGAGTGTCTATTTGATAACTATTTTAATTATATAAAGATATAGAGATACATTACTGAAGGTTATGTAAATATCTCTACGCCACGCATTTTATTAAACACGCCCATTTTTTTAATAAAAAGTGAGTGTTTGGATGGTGTTTGAGTTAGATGATGGGATGATAAGGTGGGTGTCGTCAGTGTATTTGATTAGAGCCATGAAAAGTTTTAAAAGTAGAAGCATTGATGATAAAGGTAGATGGTCCAAGGACAGAACCTTGAACTACGCTAGAATTAATAGGTAGAGTACATTTAGTAGAGTGTCTATTTGATAACTATTTTAATTATATAAAGATATAGAGAAACATTACTGAAGGTTATGTAAATATCTCTACGCCACGCATTTTATTAAACACGCCCACTTTTTTAATATGCTAATAGATTTTAAAATTTCACCTTTGGCATGGATCCCACCCTTTGTCTCATTTTTTTTGTGTACTAAAAACATTAGTGACCAAAAATTTTGGTTTAGTGAAATGTGGGACCGAAAATTCCGAAACCAAAAATTTTTTAGATTTTTTCCGCTAAATTTTGATAGGATGTCAAAACGGATTTTTGCATGGTTGTAAGGATTTTGTTAACACTCCAGACGTTACAGAGTGCACAACTTGACAAGTTTTCTCAAAATTAACCATCGAATTAGTATCAAACCTTCATCAAAAACTAGAAATCCTTCAAGATTTCTTAAGCCAAAAATGTGGCAACAGGACAGAAAAATGGTCCTGAAAAATGCACATTTGCATAATGTAGGAGTGACATAAATATTACCCTCATGTGAATCATAGAATCGTCTTGTGAGTGCAGTTTTTATGTATAATTGCTTTTCAAGCTGGATATAAGAGTAATTTGTCATGATTTTGAAATATTGAAAGAGTGGCGAATCACAATTTGGTTTGTTAATTGGATCCCGAATAATGGACATCCAAACTTTGTGAGAAGATTCATTTTTGTGGGATTTCAGAAATGATACAAAATTTTCTGCAAAAGAAAAAATTTCTGAATTACGTTTGGTTAAATCTTTTACTTTTTGATGAAGGCTTTCTAGTCTTTGGGTTACAGAAACACCCTAATTAAATGATTCTATATTTTAAAGAAGGCACCAAAATTTTAGAACAGCTATGCCAATTTTTATTATAATAATCAGTTACTGTTGAAACATTTATAGTTATTAATTTTTTATAAAGTTGCTCGTATCCATCAGGAGATTTAGATTGAAATATTTCATGTAAAATTTCTAATATTGAATTTTTGGTAGCTGTTGGAATACCCATTTCTAGACTCTGTTATTGCGAAATGATTGCATGCAATGAAAAATACAGAAATTAACTTTTGATCACTCAAAAATGGAATGAGCACATTGATTGCAGTCATATTTTTGTCAACTAAGAGCGATCTTACCAATTCACAGTTGTAGTTTTGTTTAAAATCATTAAAACGCCCTCTAAAACTGTATGTACGGACACGGAAAGTATAGAAATTTAGAAAGGAATGGCGTGCACCGAATAATTCCGCCACTGTTTCTTCCAGAAGTTTAGAACGTGCATGAAATAACGTGCAACGATTAAGATAGGACCAACAATTTAAGGAAGGGCTTCAACAACAAATTCAGAGTGTTAATTAGTTTAATTACCGATTAATCGGATTAATCAAGTTTTGAGTGTCTTTGTTAACGTGTGTCTTCATTTATTGACTTTGTTCGACTTCTGATTTCGCCAGTCAGTAAGGCTCCAGTAGCGTGTTGTGAAATATTTATTTATTGCTGGATGTCTTTGTTCGAGGAGCAAAGATTCTGCAAACTTTAGATTGAGTTGATTATTGTTGTAGTGAATTATTTCCACGTTATTGTTAAGTATCCCTTTAGTAATTTTTGTGTTGTGTTTTTCTTTCGTGATTCTTTATTACTCCTGACTGAACATGCATGGTGAGCCATCTTGAAAATTTGGTTGTTGTCGATGTATTCAAAGTTTTGGTGTCCACACTTACCAGTTTTACATTTGTATGAATACACGAGATGACTGAAGTTTGTTATCGTTTCTGGTTTGCTTGTGCAGCTGTTTTTTATTACTAGAGATTAAGTTTTCGGGTTGGTGTAATAGATCCCAAATTTAATGGTTTCTTGTTAAAAGTGTTGAAAAGGAGAAAGTACAATATTTAAATGTATAAATGGATTTACCTCGTGCTATCTGATTGAGAAATCTACTTGTAAAAGTTTCCCACCTGAAAAGCAATGCCTGAGATCAAACAAAAGTATTGAATGTTCCATTTGCCAAAAAGAAAACCGGCACGCGGAATTTTTCAGCTGTTGGACCGAAGTATTAAAATGCCATCTACGCAGCTCTGGTCTGTCTCCAGATTCTTTTCAAAGCGAATTAAAGCATTAGTTTTAAACAAACAATATTCTTTTATTTTTTGTGTCCTCTGTTTTTGAAATTTATCTAATTTAATTTAAAAGTCTATTAGAAATATTAGGCATTACATTCACCTCCACACTTAATATAAAATCTCATATCAATCACATCATCCCAAAAGGTTTTCAAACATTTCACGCACTCAAAACACTCCGCTCACTCATGATCTCACGCATCAAATATATGGTTTGGTTTTGCTACACAACAACTTCAGCAACTACAATCTCTCATCAAAATACTAATCCGCTTCAACTCCATCCTCTACTACCACTAATTAAAAGTACAAAACACAACTCTCGTCAGCGCAAGCATAACTATCAAGTCGCCACCCAATCTACATATCAGGAAAAGACCTTCATCACAAGACAAACAACAACAACAACACACGTTTAGACGACATTTTCCCCAAGATCGGGGGTTGCCGTTTGGCTACCTATGATGAAACCGAAATACCCCTCGACGCCATTCCATCATAAGTAATTTATTTGGCTAATTTTTACGCAGGACGCCCTTCCTTACGCAACCACAATTATAAGCGGTGGGCCTAGCCTTTGATGATCCAACATCACTCACAAGGCAGTGAGGGTCAGTTTAATGTCATAACCAGGACACTGTCATAACCAGGACACTGTCATAACCAGGACACTGTCATAACCAGGACACCTTCATCACAAGACACCTCAAACATATTAACACTCAATAACACTTTATCAATCACACTAGTTTTTATTTATCGATCACCTCACTAACTCACTAAGTCATCATCTAGTCTATTAATTTTTCTTTTTATGCCATTACTTCATTTTATTGTCAATTTAAGTTATTTTCATTCATTTATTATTTATTTTATTCTATTTCATTTTACTTTTCATGTTTAAACATTTTTCTTTCTCCGTTTTCTTATTTATTTATTTATTTACTTATTTGTTTAATTTTGTACTACTGCCTTGTATGCTGTAACAGGTTCTGCGTCTGTCAGATCCTGATTTTTAAAGAATAATAATAATAAAAAAATCTTATAAGTTTCTTTTAGATTTATTGATTAGAACGTTCGTGAAATCGTTTTTCTTTATCCAGCACGGTATTAACATTTTTTATGATACTACTACTAATAAATAATAATATATAACATTTAAGTAATACAAAAAATAAAATAATCAATGTAAATTGCCATATATATATATATATATATATATAAATATATATGTATGTTGGAAGACCATATTTTATACAGTATTGCATGAATTTTACCAAATTTTTGGCATTAATTCATGCAACAATGTATATATATATATACACATACATA